CTGTATTGACAAAAACCGTGTTTGTGCTTTAAAGCCTTTTCTTTGACTTACAGAAAATGTTAGATGTCAGTGTAGCATTCTTAAATTCTCCAAAGGAGAGTCAGCATTTCACCCAGTGCAAGGTGAGATGCAGCAAAGCTTTTATTATTTCATGCTGTCTGTTCTTTATTTAAAATTTTTGAGGATTTATTCTACTATTAGAACTCTAGGAGACTCCAAAAGAATAGTTGGCAAATGAAAGGTTGGACCCTGAATTTAATATTTATATATATCTTTTGAAGGTTAGGTTATTGATTTACTGGGTAGTAGAAGATTTTAAAAATCTAATTCTGAGATTGTTACCTAGGAAATTGATGAAATTGAGACAGTATCAGCCAGCGTGGATGAAGGAAGCCCAGGGCATTTAGCCAAGACTGTCAAAGAGTCCAACAGGTCTGCCATTTCTTCCTGGGTTACAACAGTGAGGTTATTAAGATTGACAGGTTTGAAGCAGTAATACACCTAACTGCTTGTTTCTCACACTCTGGCAAAGGGTGAGAGCCAGAGAGGACTGTGATCATGGCACCTTAGTGACGGGCTGTTTGGAAGGTGTGCATTAACCTATATAAGAAAGAAAGCAGACCGTACAAAATTGCAAGAGATCACGGTCTGTTTGGGTTTATTGTCTTCGTACAAAATAGGACCTAATCCAGCTTGTGAACATATACAAACAATAGTATGTTTCAAATAGAGAGAAAGGAGTGGCAAGAGGAAAAGTGACTGATTGTTTTTTAGAGAATGAACAGCTTGACTGTCGAGAGAGAATGAAAGAAAGAGAGTGAGTTGTTTCTCCTTGTAATCATCTGGGAAAACAAGACCGTTGTGCATCCTGCTGCCTTTCAGAAAGGCTATTATCTGGTGGCCAACACCATATTTCATGGTGCTGACACTTCTACTTCTCTTTTTTTCACCCTGTGCAGGTGAAAAGACTGGCAGGCTATTTCTGTTTCTGGAAGCTCTTTGTCTTAGTCTGTTTCCTATTGCTAGAACAGAATATCTAAGACTGGGAATTTATAAAGAATAGAAGTTTATTTTAGCTCATGGTCTGGAGGCTGGGAAGTCCAAGATCAGGAAGGTCCATCTAGCAAGGTCCTTGTGCTGTGTCATAATATAGAGGCAAGCAAGTGTGTGAGGAAAGTAGGAGGTCTTGCTTTGTAACAGGTCCTATGGTAGGTAATCCTGTCCCACAAGAGCAGCATTAACCCTTTTATGTGGGCAGCACCCCCATGACCTAATCATCTCTTATAGAGCCCACCCCTTCTCAGTGCTGTTACACTGGAGATCTGATTTCAGTATGAGTTTTGGAAGAGACAAATCATGTCCAAACCATAGCATCCTCCATGAAAATTGATTTTTTTAGTTGAGATTTTGTTAGTTATTTGGGTAGCACTGATTTCAATATCATACTCAATTGTAAAGGACTTGGAATACTACATTCTGTGCTGTCATTTCAAAATGTACCTGTTTGCTTTATGAGCAGGTGAACTGATAGACATATATTTTGTAAAACTAAAAGGCTCTTTTGTTCCTCATTTATTTATTTTGAGGAATTTTTGTGAGCTTATTATTCAATGATTTTTCTCATAGTCACCCTGCAGAATTAATTTTCTTTGTAGATAGTTTTATTATCTTTATTATATGTGTGTACTCATCTTATGTACTTTATCATCTCACTTATTACATTGTATTGTGAGTATTTGTCTGTGTGTCTCTGGTTGTTTAGTGCCTCAAAGGTAGGGAAGAATCTTGCTCATCTTTGTGTTTGTATATGCCCCAGGACAGTGTCTGACATGACATACAGAGAACATGCATGGTCAAAATTCCATATGGGTTAAATGAGTGCATGTGTGAGTGATAGCCCCAGGTAAAGCCTAGTTCCAGAATGTTGGACCTTATGTCCAGTATTCTAGATTTATTTCCCCTAATGCTGGGATATTGTGTTCAGTGAGAAATTCTTGTGCTCCTCCAGTTATGGATCAGCAGTCTGATGTGCTTTATTGTGCTGACGTATGCCATGTTTGATTGCTTGTTGATAATGAGTGGTGACAAGTGTCATCATAGTATGGCTGCTTTGGTTCCAGGGTCATATCATTCCCTTGGTTAAACATACATGGGTTTTGCATTTCAAGATGTTGGCTTATGAAACCTGGTAGATTGTGTTTATTCTTTATGTTCTGGAGCATTTATCATTGTCTGACCTCTCTAACCTCTGGTTTCCATTTTGATCAAATGAGATTTGTGTGCAGCAAGCTTTGCATTGATGCTTAGCATAGCTAATGTGCACTGACTTGATTGAATGGCCTTTGACTGAGTCTTGCCTGGTCTTTATCTTGCTGCAAAATTGTAATTTCTAACTCATTTCAGAATCTTCATTATGCCTTTTCACCTCACAAATTCAATCCCTCAGAGAAGATATTTATTTTTAAATTGTATGAGTTATTAATATGAAAATTTTTGATATATTAACTTATTTTTTTATTCCATTTAGTTATAAGCTTCCCTCTTATTTTCTTTACTGGGCATTTTTAAGGCTGGAAAAAATATTCTAAAGACAGGAAAACAAAAAAATGACTGTGTGTGTGTGTGTGTGTGTGTACATATATATATGATGAAACATCACATGATGCCACATTAATGTGTACAGTTTTTATGTACCAGTTAAAATAAATTTAATTTAAAATATTTTTTAAAAAACATTTTATTACCAATGAAAAATGAATTGAATCTATAAAGTCTGTTGTCTTGGAATGATGATGTTAGAAAGAGAAATCAAAAACTTCCTCAATTTGTTCCCTGTTAGTTTCACGACAGACAGAAGCTGGACCATAGGCCCTTCTGTTCCCTTCCTATCTTGCCAAGGCAGCTTGTGTGCAGGTATGGTACTAGGCACTCCCAGCTGTACAGCTCTCTCTAAGACCCTAGCAGCTGGCATTTTTATCTCAATCTTGTGAAACCTGAAACAAAGAAGCCCACTGACCTCCAGAACTCAGATAATAAATGGGTGTTGTTTTAACCCTCAAACTTTGTGGTAGTTTTTTATGCAGCAGTAGAAACTAATGCAAGTGTTAATAGGTATTTGTGTCTGTTTTCTTTGGTTTTCTCCTCTTTGAGAAATATAGGGCCAGGCAATCCTTTTTATTTATCATGGACGGCAAGAAACAGGCCATCCACCTAATGTTTCTATTTTATGGGAAGAATTCATAGTTTTACACACATAGAGGAATGGATCTACTCTGTGTCCAATACACAGTTTAGCATTGGGATTGATTTTGCTTGACTTGGATGAATCAGAGTTTCCCTATGAACTGCTGTTTTTAATACCAAAACCATGTATTTAAGGCATTTGGGACTTCAAAAGCACCTGACTGATTACGGCCTCTGCTTCAGATACCTTTTCTGTTTTAAAAGTCAATAGTTTAAAAGTTCCAGAGCTTTAAAAGAAATGGAAAATGATGAAGTCAGAATAATGAGCAATTTTATGTTGCTACCTTTCCGTATGTTGGTTAATTTACTTTGTAAAAAAGCTGGAAAATTGAAATTGTCATATGGGTGGCAGTGAAGAGTATTGTCCATGAATAGTTTAGTACTATAATGATGACAAGAAATACTTAGTATGGATGTTTGTATACTCTCATCCAAGGGGAAGGAAAAGGGGAACTGGGCAGGTGGGTTCTCTTGGATTTCCCTTTCAGTCCCCCGCATTCCTAACCCAGAGCTGTCAGGGGAGGTGTGAAATCTCATCAGAGCAAGGGTCCCGGGGATAAGGTGGTTCAAGTGAGCCATCTTCTACTTCCCTCCTGTGAGACTTGCTCCTTCTTTATTCAGGACAATGAAGAAATGGAAACCGGGTGGCTTGGCTCTCGGGGCCTTAGGACTGTGAGAAAGAAGTTCCATCTCTGCCATTTGTGCAGGGCCCCCTCAGTGCCTTTCACTGTGTGCTTCCAGGGAACTCCTGATGCCTTCTCTCTGCCCTGTGCTTCTCCTGGGTCCTCCTGCAGATGGAGAAACCAGGCTGGAGGCTTCTCTCTTTTTCTTTCAGTGATTTTATTTCACAAAGATGGGATTTAAAGGAAAGCTTCTTCCCAGGGTCTATAGTTCTCCATTCCTGCTTGAAAAACTGTTCATTAAAGATTAATTTGGATTAATAGGCAAGTACCTTGGACTTGACTAAAGGCAGTAATCAAGAATGACCCTCACAACTTAATACTGATCAGCCCTAGCATGTGTTGCATATATTTAGTGTGAGTCTGGGGCTAAACAAAAGACTTTCCATGAATTAACTTATCTCATCTGCACAGAAACCCTGTGCAGAAGGTTCGGGGATGTCCGGGCATTTGTCCTGTGGTGCCTGTTGGTGACAAGGGAAGAGTCAGAATGAAACTCAGAGGGGTGCCCAGGGACTCAGGCCTCCAGCCCCTGTGCTGCGCTGCTGTCCTCCATCCTTAATGCTAGTTTGATGTAATTTGACTGCTTTCTTCCTAACACCTAGAAGTGTTACTTTTACAGGGTGGGACTAGAAGTGAAGAGGTTGAGGATAAAGTAGAGGGAAACATGGCTGTTAGATGATTGTGATGGGGAGTTTGGAAAGACTGGGCAGCGTTCTGTGTGGTGTTGTTTCCTTCCCTACCAGTAGTAGTAAGAAACTCACTTGTAAGCATCTGGATATTACCGACCTTGTAATCAGTATGATAATTCAACCAAGGACCCAGAAAACACTATTTGTTTTTTCTTCTTCTTTATACCATCAGCACTATTTCCCTCCTTCCTTAATGTTCCAGCCACAGAATGCTCTTACATGTTTATGTATGTATGTGTATATATATATTTATATATATATGGTAAATGAAGTGTTTCACTTGTCAAGGATTTAAATATTTAAATAGCATTTTGAAAATATTCTTGAAGTAAAGGCTAATGAAAAGTAACTAATTTCTATAATTATTCTTTTCTGCCTCACACAGTATTGGTTGGATCCTGCAAAGACCCTTGCTGAACACAAAGAACTGATGAACAGTAGGTATTCAGTTTTAACTTTGCTGAAGGGCTGATTAATGGGGTGCAGACCCGGGCTTTAGTTGGGAGAAATGTGTGCACCAGTGCTCAGGGATGATAGCGTGGTCGTGGGTGCTGTGTGCATCATGAGGCTCAGTACTGTATCAAGTTTGTCCTTGATTTTGACTGGGATTTTTTTCTATGCCTGTCTTTAAACTTTGACTTTAATGACAAACATATAGAAAAGGCAGAGAGGCAATGATTTGAAAATGAGGTGATGGGTTATGGGGCGGTTTTATTATTCACACCACTCAGTTTACTGTTCAGTAATTAAGGGATGCCCTTGTGACCTGAAAAATTACTACAGCTCCGGAGAAAGGCCATCCATTTTCAGGGGGTAGTTTTTGGTTTTATCAATATGAATATTACTGGTCCACTCAGTATAATTGTATATTCCTTAATCTTAATTTCTACAACCCACTTTTATTAATAAACACACACACAGAGGAAAATAGTCTTTTAATTTTTTTTTTTTTGGTACCGGGGATCGAACTCAGGACCTTGCGCTTGCGAGGCATGTAGCGGAACCACTGAGCTGAACCCCCGGACCCTGTCTTTTAATTCTTTTGGCTGTATCGGGGAGGCGGTTTAGTGGTAGAGTACTTGCCTAGCTAGCATGCAAAAGGTCCTGGGTTCAATCCTGAGTACTAGGGGAAAAGGAACAAAAGATAATTTTTTTCAAATTCTGCTAAAATATATATAATATAAAATTTATTCATTTGCCCCCTTTTGGGGGGTACTAGGGATCGAACTCGGGACCTTGCGCTTGCGAGGAAGGCGGTGGCACCACTGAGCTAAATCCCCAGCCCTAATTTGGCCTCTTTTGTGTACAATGCAGTGACATTAAGTACATTCACTTTGTTAGCTAGATGCAGTGGTGCACACCTGTAATCTGAGCATTGAGGGAGGCTGAGGCAGGAGGATTGCAAGCTTGAGGCCCATCTAGGCAAACTAGCAGAGATTCTGTCTCAAAATACAAAATTAAAAGAAAAATAAAAAGGGCTGGGGATGTTGCTCAGTGGTAGAGTTCAATCTCTAGTACTAAAAAAATGACAAAATCCCCTGCAGAAAAACCCATTCATATTATCATGCACCCATCACCACTGTCCTCCAAATTTTTTTCATCATCCTAAACTGAAGTTCTACCCATTCAACCAGTTTTGCCGAAGTGTGTGAATCATTCACATCAACACTTAGTGTGTTCTTGATTGCCCCATCTCAAGTGTGTTTGTGCTGTGTATGTCGGCTCCTTCTGGGTGGCAGTCTGGGCTGTGTGGTGCTTTGGGTCCAAGGGCAGGAGTGCCTGGGCCCAGAACTGGAGAGCAGGCACTGCAGCACCACTGGGCACGAGTGCTCTTTCTCCACCATCAGCAGCACTTTGTTTCTCTGCTTTTCCACCACTCTGGTAGAAACCGCTGGAGTTCACAAGTTGCAAGTTGGCTCAGTTGAACCAATTAAAAAACCAGTTGGAAAATTAGAAAAATTTCAGGAAAGATTATTTTAAAATAAACTCACACGCTTTTTTTTTTTATAAGAAAAGAGTTGAAATTTCAATTAAGGTGATAAACATGTAAATATCTTAAGGTGCACTGTTTCTGAATACAAAGTGTCTATTTACATCATATAAGATAATCTACTTAAATATCATTATAAAAGGCAATCACTTTTTTATCCTAAAAATGTAGTACTGTGAAAAATGTAATGAACAGTGAGAATAAAATGCTATTGCAGTTGAACAAATATGTCACCGAAGAACACTTACATTTCATCATGTTCATGAAGTAGTTTGATAATAAGTGAAGGAAAATGGCATCAGATCTCCAGTAGAGAACTCAGAAGGAATATCTAAAATTACAGAACATGTATTAGTCACCAGGGTTCTTCAAGTCTTGGAGTATCTACCCCTAAGCTAATTGGAAATTCCTTATTATCCTTAGAGGCCTTGAAACAAGTCTTCACCAAAGGTAGATTAGGAGAATCCCAGTTTCTGGCTCTTACCTTTTTCTGAAGTAAAATAATCTTAGTTTCACTTTACATAAAGTCTCTCAAATGTTGAATCTGTGGATTAGGATAATAATTTGACAATTTGCTTCATCAGCACTGATTTTTATAATTAGTCTTAGAATGAGAAGCCAAAAGAAAAAAAATCTAGGTAAACATATTCTTGCCTGAAAATGATAATTTCTGTAGCCTTTAATCTCTCTACTAAACAGTAGAGATGTATATGTGAGTATGTGCTCACTCTAAAGGTACTGAAGTTTTGCTTCTCCCTGCGAGGCTGCATAAAATAGTGCCAAGTCAGCAGTGAATACTAGGTATTGGCAAACTTGGTTTTCATCTCTGAGGTTTTAGTAAGTTGCTCCTTGGAGCGCCGCCTGCCTCACTTCTGTTACCAGGTTATTGTGGGACTCGAATGTTTATGTAACATTTTTGTACCTTATCAAGTGCAATCAAATGATAACAATGCCTTATATTTAGAACGCAAGCCACTTTGTATGTGAGTGGGAAATGGCTAAATTGGGCCAAGAGTCCTTAAAGCAAATTAGCCCAATTGAGTGCTTTTCATTGGGTGTTTTTCAAACTTCTGCTTAACTGTTCATCACTAAACACATTTGACATGGGTGTGCTTGGTGAATAGGGTGTAATCTGTCATGTTCCAGAAAATAAAAGCAGCTCTGGGGTCTGGAGAAGGCCTCTTCCCTTTGTGCAGTCTCCGTAGCATCTGTGTGCTCCCCGCCCCCTAGGTGCCAACCCTACAGCCCTCAGGCACAGGAAGACCCATCTGCTGGGGAACACAGAGCTTGACTGACACAGACAGATCAGCAGAGAGAGAACTTCCTGGTTCTTCTAAATATTTAATAGTCTAGCCTGCCTGACACCTATGTTCAGGGGTTAGGGGGTATTTGTCAGGAATACAAGCACAATGGTTAAGGAAACATGAAAATCAAACCGATGGAATTTGTTCTAATGAAAATAAATTAGAGCAAAGTTTTAAAGCGTTTTCTTTTTAAAAGCGGTAGCATAAGAAGGTACTAGATGAGGGAGAGGGATGGGTCCTGGCCTTGATTGTCACTTGTATGTTGGAAATCAGGTGTTGGGGTATTATAAACATAAGTATGTGTAAGTAAGAATAATGACATAGTTTGTAAATTATAAATGCATTATATCTTTATTACTTGCTCTAATTTATTTCATTCTCCCAACTTCTAAATTTATAACATTCTTATTTAGTTAAAAATGGAATAGACTAGGGTTACTTTATGATAGTTACACAGTATCAGAGACTTTTACTGGGTGTGTGCTTCCAATTTTTTCTATTTTATTTCTGTGGGAGAACTTCTGTTAAAAAAATTTGCAAGCATAACTACCATTTGGTGCACCAAGTAAAAAAATCCTGTTTGAAGGAAGCAAGCATATTAGATTTAGTTACTGCACAACTTGGAAGTGTTTAGTTTTGAAAATAGTGCACATCAGATTCATACCCTCTGAAATAGAACTATTTCTAATAAAAGCTAATATAGTATGGTTATCACCCAAGGGACTTTTCATCTTTCTGCATAATATGAGTGCTTATTTTATATTTGCCCATGTATGTACAACTCCAGGCTTTGTTTCTAATTTTTTTGGTTTTGTTTTTGTTATTTATAGACTTAGTTTTTCTGTGTGTGGTAAAATGAGACGAGAAATTTCTTCTTACACATGTAAGAATCATTTTTAGATTCAGAAAAGTTTAAGAAATAAACAGATATTGGCCTTAATTCTATGATATAACCTCACTAATGGTTTTTAAAGATATACATAAGAAAATTCTAATTAATCAGTTTAAAGAGAAAATTTCTAATCCCTCTTCTCAAATTTTTCCACCGCATGTAATTTCTTGTTTATTCTTCAAGGGAAAAACATAGCTTGGCTGACATTTTATTTTTTTCACAAAAGAAATGTTTCTTGTACTTTGCAATATAGATTGATGATCCCTTGCACATCAGTACCTACAAATCTTCTCTTTAAGCAATTGCTTAGTGTCATACAGTATATGTCCTATTATTATGGTTGGCTAAGATGGTCCAACTGCTGCTGAGCATTTGTTTCTAGCTTTTTGCAAAGGTTTAATTTTTTTTGTTGTTGAACTCCTACTGTCAACAGTTTCAAACCCTGCTGTTTCCATTTTGTTTTCTTGTGTCTTGTGAAGTTCTTAGTGCAGTTCTTAATATATAATATTCTGATACTACTTTGACTATAATGTAAAATTTAGTTAATGCCTATTTCTTATTTTAGCTGGACCTCCATATACTCTGTATTTTGGTATTAAATTCTATGCTGAAGATCCGTGTAAACTGAAAGAAGAAATAACCAGGTACAGTGTTGACTGTTTTTGAACAGATACATGTATATGTAAAACGCTTTATTGAAAACAAACTAAAATTGAGGTCAACCTTTTAGATGTATGTCTACCTGAATTTTGTGTTTCATCTCCTGTGAGGATTAAATTTATACTAGCATTGTATGAGACAGATCGGTATCTGATGATAGATGTGTTTGAATAATGGCACGAACCTGGATGACATGATGATAGATTTTTGCATCTCTGATGGGCTATTCTGTATCATTATTGTTAAGCATGCATTTTGCTTTTGTAGTCATATAAAAGTAGTCATTTGAACTGCCTAAAGGAAGAATATTTTGATGCCCAGTTTACATATGTAAATATATATTTGAAGAACCATTTATTTCCTTTTAATTACTTATAGCTAAAAATACCAGCTGTTCAGATGTTTCATTTATCTCTCCAGGAAATGAAAAGATAATTACCTTTAATGTCACCAAATATTTCAGTTAAGGTAAAATATCTAATTGATATTGATCAGGTTGTAAGAACAATTCATGACAACATGTAAAGTGGCTTATAAAGAGCAGACAGTGGTGTGGTGTTTTAACTTATTCATGACCAGTGAACTGGCTGCATGTGGTAGCAAAAGCATTTTCCCTAAATTAAGTGATCAGTTTTTCAGTGAAATTTTATCATGGGCTCAATTAAAGCCTAATGCATTACTTTAAGATTATATCTTTGATATGTAAGGCAGCCTGTGGTTTTGTTTCTATTCCTTCCTCATGTACATATATAATCATACTAGATATAGCATTCCAAAAGGATGTACTTGAGGAAAGACGAGAGATGAACAAGATATACAGGAAGATAAAATTTTAGATTATAAAAAATAATATAGAATCATAATGACCTGGAGTACCTGCCATGTGTTTTAAATTTTTTCTGAAATAAATGATGCTGAAGAATTCTAAACTACCTTTGTAGAACATTCCTGACTTATCAGCCAGTTTCTATTTAAACTTTTTTTTTTTAGATAGAAAATCTTACAGCCTTGAAAACCGAGAAGACATTCAATTAGAAATAAGTAATGCCTGAAACTTTTATCATTACTACTAGGTTTTCTTTCTAAGTCTATTCAGAATAAATCTATAATCTCTCATTATTAGTCCTTTAAATAATTTGTGTCCTCATGAGATCTGTTTAATTTCTTTTCAATTCTAATTCAAATGTTTTGTTTTGTTTTGTTTTGTTTGGTACCGGGGATTGAACTCAGGACCTTGCACTTTCGAGGGAGGCACCGGAACTACTGTGCTAAATCCCGAGCAAAAATTTCACTCATGATTTTTTTTTTTTGTACCGGGGATTGAACTTGGGTCCTGGTGCTTGCGCAGCAGGCGGCAGAACCACTGAGCTAAATCCCCAGCCCTAATTCAAATATTTTGATATCCTTCCATGTATTGTGTTATTTATACGTCTGTGTCCTACACAGATCCAATGTCCTTAACACACACATCAGGTAAGGCGACAGGCTTTGGAGTCAGACAGCTGAGGTTCACATCCTTGCTCTGTCACTCTCCAGCTATGTAATTCTGAGATTACATAACCTTTGAAAAATCTGTTTTCTCATCTGTATAATGGAATTACAGTATATCTTCAAAAACGATGCCTGGAGACATATATAAGAAAATACACCCAAAGTGATTACTGTAATGCGGAATATCTAAGTGTTCCATAGATGGTCAGGAAAGCAAAAATGGAAATAATGAGGGCTATCGTATATTTTTCAAGTTACTGACTTAAAAAATTAGGAAAAGACCAACATGGAGCCCCGAGATGAGTCAGGTTTAAGTCAGAACTTTCTGGGTGTAGGTGTTCATTTGACTATAAATCATCATAGTACTGCCCTCTAGCCTGCATTTCCGGAATTTACACGTCAAGGCGGCATTCACTCACACACTCCTTTTCATTCTGTAACTATGCAAATCCCTGTGTTCCCGGTGCAGAGTGAAAAAAGACTCAGTCGTGATCAGGGAGAGTCCAGTTACAGTGCATGTGAAGAGAAAATCTGTCAACTGTCCCGCTGTTGTTCCTACCTGTGTTGCCACTGGCATTTTGCTGAACTTTTATGCATCTAACAACTTTCTATAAAAGAAAATGTTATTTCCAAATGACTCATTCATGACTTTTTTAAGCTCAAAAAAAGGACTGTATTTGATGTTTTTAGTTTTTGTAATACGTAACAGCATTTCGTTGGAGAGTGACATCAAGTTCACTTGTTACTGTTACCATTCTTTTTGTAAACCATAATCTTTCCTGTGTGAAGAATGCTTGATTTAGCTTCTTTACTAGCTGAGTGAGGTCCAGTCACCGGAATGGTTGTCCCCTCCTTTCAGTGAAGATAACAGTCCTTATCTGCTTCAGAGCGGAGGTGAGGGTCACATTCCTTTACAGACACAAAAGACATTTGTGAATTTGAAAGGGCTGTTCAAATGTACTGGTCCTCAACAGCTTGTTCATTCTTGGTTTCAGTTCAGCTTCTTTTAACAAACACCAGATAAAGGAAAACTTTGAGGCCAATATTTCAAATCTGTATTTGTGCTGTGCTGATTGTAGTGTTGTTTTAAATTGGAATGGGTGGGAGACCACAAACGTCTCCCCCATTCTCATGATCTACTTTGGGAGACAGTGTGTGTGTGCATCAATATATTAATCTCCTTAAGAAACTAACCAGATATTGCTTTATGAAGCCTCTGCTTTGCACTATAATGTGTTCTGGAAACTTCCTTGTTAAGCAGATCACTTTAATTCAGCAATGTAACTAGAGTCACAGTATAATTTACTGTCCAAATGCTGACATTTTAAAGAATGGTGAGAAAAGTTGTTAATAGTCTTACTTTTATAATAGGCTTAAACTAGATGGAACTGTTCTAGGCAAACTGGATATAGGTTAACCCTAATTAAATGAGACATAGACAAAGATGCAGTCTGTCATGGCTTTAATCAGAATGACACAGAAGGAAAGACCCAGCAACTTTAAATCTATTTTGTCCATAAAATAGACAAAATAAGTTATAGATAGCTCAGGAGGGAGAGATGGGAGGATGGTGAATTTGAGGCCAGCCTGGACTATGCAGCAAGACCCGGACTCAAAAAACAGAACAAAATTGTGATCTTTATCATAAATTTATCTTATAGGAATCTAATAAAATAGCACAAATAATCAGATTCTTAATTAACACTAGTGTGCTTGCATTCTTCAGTTTCTTAAGGATCTCTGGTAACTTTAAAAGACAGAATGCTCAAGAAAGTTAGAGAAAGTATTCTTTTTCTCCTTGCATTTCTCAGAAATTGCAAATTAATTTTTTTACTTCCATTTAGCTCTGTTCATCTGTACACCCATCTATCAAATCAACTATTTAATGAGCACTAGTATATGTTGAGGCTCTAGATATGTCAGGGGGATATGGTTACTGTTACTTTGTATCTGGTTGTCTTTGTGTTACAGGTCTGTTTTTGTTGTACTCTCCCTGTTTCTCTTCCCTTTTGTCTTCAGAGCAAGTACATGTGGGATTAGTTCTTTCTGTTTTTGTGCTTTGCAAGGGATTTGACTATCTGGTCAAATATTATAAAAGTCTTGATAGAGGAAGATAAATAGCACCTGAAAACCCATTTCTTAAGGAACTGAATTTTAGGACAAAATCAAAGGTTTTATAGAGACAGGGGGGTAGGAAACACAAGTTTTCATCAAGTAAAGGTAATTCTAGCCAATGTCTCTAGATTATAAGCTTTGGTACTTGAGTTGTAATATTATTTTACTCTGTTTTTCCATCCAAGAGGAGCACAAACTATTGTTAAAAAGTGGATTTGATATGCTGGGTGAGCAATCAGGGAGTGGAAAGTGTTAATTAGAGTTGTAAAAATGAGTAAAAATTATGGAGAGGAGGTGACCCTTGGTCTGTGGCAAGAGATTTGCAGCATGAAGTAAGTAGAAATCTTACAAGTGATCTTAGGAGCTTTATCCCGAAGGCCCAGGGAAGTCTTTTAAAATATTTTTAATCATAAAGTGACACGCTTCTGTTCACCACTGGAGTCCTGTTTACCTCTTAGGAAGATTGGAAGGGAGGTAAGTATGGATGAAGGCAGGCCAGTTAAGAGGTTTTAGAAGTCTGAGGGACAGTGATCCAAACTAGGGGATGGAGAGAAGTGCATTGCTTTCCAAACATGTGTGTTTGGTGATGGAGGGTAGTTGCCAGGATTGGCCACAGAACCTGCAGGTTTCCCCGACATGGACATTTGAGATAAATACCGTAGTGCTGTTTCCTGAAATAGGCAGTGGGGGATCATAGGGCATTGAGCAGATTTTCACTAAAGCCTGTTGTTGCAATCAAAGTTGATATCCATCTTTTGACAATAATCAGTGTACCATCTAACATTTGGATTCCTTCATTAAGGACTTAGGTTATGGGCAGTTGGAAAAGTGATATTTATCACAGCAGAGTTTTCAAATTCATTTCTTTTGCTTTTCTTCGCCCCTCCCAATGACATCAAGAATCACCTTGCAAAGGAAGTGAAATCACAAAAAGCCTGAAATGTGTTACATCAGTGTGTGTGTGCATGTGTGCGTGAGAGCATGGTGCTGATGGTTCATTGTGTTGGTTCAAACCTCTGTCCCCTCTCAGCCCACTCAAAGAAAGACTGAATAAAAAGAACAAAAAGCTAGTCAAAGTTCCATAACATTCTGCTTGAGAGAGTTCTAGGGTCAGAATGCTTGGATTCCAGTTCTGGACCTACTGTTAAACTAGTTATCAGATCTTGGACAAGGTACTTATCTTTCCATGTCTGTCAATTTCCTTATCTGCAGAACAGAGGTAATAGTACCAAACTCATTTTTAAAGTTTTGCCTAAGTTGTTATATGTAAAATACCTAAGATGAGTTATAATATTTACATTGTTTAGAGGTGCTATAATTATAACAGATTTTCTTTTGGTAACATGGAATGAGCAAGGCTGCAGATAATGAGCAGGGTCTTAATAAGTGGGAGGCTTCACAAAATTATACTACAATAACCTTTTTGTTTGTACACGTAATTTGGGGGCTTGGAGATAACTCCTGTAATATAGGTGAGGTCCTTGTGATTTGTTCCTCCCAGCAAGAGTATTCTGTAGTACCAGTAGTGGCAGGGCAGCAGTGAAAATGGCCAGTACTTCATGTTCAGCCATGACATCTCCCTGTAAGATGGTGCCGTCACCCTGCCAAGCTGGCATGTGATGAGAAGAGCTGTTATTGCGGGTGGGGAGCAGCCCACCATGGTAGTGTAGTGACTAGCAGAGCTGGGATGCAAGCCAGGCTGTCTATCTTGACAGGCTGACCTTTCCAGCTGTAAGTCTGTGCTGTGTCAGTACGGGAATTCAAATGGTCTTGTCCCTCTCCACACAACAGGTTTTCAGGGAAAGGTGGAGGTGGCTTTATTTCCACCCAACATTATTAGTGTTGACCTTGCTGATCAGAGCCTGAAAGTTCAAATTTGAGTAGTGTAAGAGATTGTTAATCTCTTTTCTCCATTTCTCTTTTAGATATCAGTTTTTCTTGCAGGTGAAGCAAGACGTCCTTCAGGGCCGGCTGCCCTGTTCTGTCAATATTGCTGCTCAGCTGGGAGCATCCGCCATCCAATGTAGGTTCTACTGAAGTGTATTTGCTTCAGAAATGTCTGCAGAAAGTGCTTGTGGTTTTCTTTGTATGCATATTTATATTCTAAAATGCTTTTTAGCCAATGACATTTTGTAAGGAAAAAAAAAATGAATTCTATTACAATTCACATTTTAACCAGTGTCCTAATAGAAGAATTAAAAATAGAGCTGGATACATTTCTCTTGTGGTAGGTTGTATGGAGTTTTAGTTGCAGGCATAGCATTGATTCTTAAGTAAGTGAAGGACCTAAAAATCTCTTCCCCAGAGTTCAGTGATTCTACACCCTGCTGCCACTTCCGGCCAAGTGGTTATGTCTCAGAGATCATGTTGCTTCTGGGCAGCTGTTGTGAAGATTCCACATGGTTCAGTGCCAACTCTGAGTTCAGTGTGACACACGTTGGTTGCTCGTGTACATCATTAGCTCTTTGCATCAATATGGTGGCCAAGTGGGGTGGTTCTGGGTTGTTTTGCCCTTTTGGAGACTCAGGCTGAGATTATTTGTACTAATAATTATTGAGGACCTTTTATAAATCAAGCTAGTTTTGAGGGAAAGGAGACAACATCATCCGTGCCCTTGTGACACCTGTAGAAACAAAATTATATAAGAAAAAAAACCTAGGAAAAATGTCAAATAGATGTACTGGGTTAGAGGTTGGAAGGTAGATTAATATATGGAGGAAAAACTTTATAGGAATAATATAGTGAGCTTTCTGGTTTTGTTTTGATTCTTTTGTAAATGATAATCAGTTATTGCAGTATTGGGTTATTCCCATAACCATTGTTTGGGTCACGGATGTTTTGAATCACACACTCTCTCAATATCATTGTCGGAGAGGAATTATTGGGTCAACTCCAGGATTTCTATTATGTACCCTAACTTCTGTTTACCGTATTTTACTTCATATAAACTGTTAAGAATGACAGAAATGAAAATGGTGATAATTAGAGTCTTTGGGAAAGCAGAAATGAGGAATTTGCATTGTAAGTCAAGACTTTTGTACCATCCCTGTACATACAAAGTTATAATAGTAAAATTTTTGAGTAATTGTGTATGTTTATTAATAAAGCACTTGAAGAAAAATGCTCAAGTGTGATAGGGATATTTATTCCTGTATTTTATTTCTTAAAATAGAATAAAATCACAATTTCTTTTCTTTTCTTCAGCGGAACTTGGAGACTACGACCCGTATAAGCACACTGCAGGATACGTGTCAGAATACCGGTTTGTTCCTGATCAGAAGGAAGAACTTGAGGAAGCCATAGAAAGGATCCATAAAACTCTAATGTAGGAATCATGTCTGTTAGGGCATCATCAGTCATCATCTTAGGCTCTCGACAATCAAGAAAAGTTTCTAGAACAATAAATTTTTCACCTGTCTTGAATATTCTCTTTTCCCTTCTGTGGTTGTTCACTGTGCATAACACTGAAATGCTTTTTGAAAACTCCAGCAATTTGAAAAAAGTATAAAGGAGAAAAAACTTAAAGCCAACACATTTTTGGTTAATGGTCCCTCTGACCCCTTTCTATGTATAATTTTCCACAGAGAAAATTTGTTTTGCATAGATTTATGTGCTATGATTTCATAAAAGTGGAAGCATTCTATAAGTACTATGTTTTGCAATCTTTTTTTTTAGTCACTAGTATCCTGTGAAAAAACTTTAAAACTATGCATATTATTTTAAACTGAAAAATAACAACAACTGCCTTAATGCATTTTAGATTTGCTCTGTGTTAAGTACATAAATTCTTCACAATTACAAAGTCTGTTCAGGCTGGAAATCCCAGTGACACTGGTGTGGAGGCTCAGAGAGCATTATGTTGCCACCACACACACTTCTGAGAATAGACACGCTCCCCTGGAAGGGTTTTCAACTAATAGCCTGGAACCTTGAAGTTATAATTTAATTATAGTTATTTTGGTTAAATCCTCTATACTGAGTAACTTTGCTTTCTTGCTTCTTATGTAGCAGTCCCCCTTGAATATACTTGGTTTCAGATCTATTACAGTTAAGGGAAAAAAATGTAGAATTAATCTGCTCAACAGAAATGTTTGCCTAAAGGATCTGTTTGAGTGAGTAGATGCAGAAGTCAAGTGCTGAATGGCAATCAGAGAAACCAGGCTCTCCGTCTTGTATTAGCATGCAGTAAAATGCTCTCCAGCCTGATTATAGAGTCCTTCATTTTAAGGTTTTGCTGAAGTGGATGCTAAGAGACTGCTGGTTATATTATGAAGGGTAGCATGTTTGGCATATTCTGAGAATGCTAATTCTACTAGGAGTTTCAAAGTACAGTTGTATTTTGAAATTACTATGAAGCTTTAGGTAGAGGCACTCTTATATGTTTTGTGTGATAGTGTGGTTGGTGTGACTGTTTTTACTAGGAATAAAGCATTATCAAAAGTTTGGTACCTTTCTTGTATCTAATTTGTGATGAATATTCCCCATGCATTTTACAAATAGACTCTATGGCTGGCTTTTCAGTATGCCATGACTGAAACAAGGGAATGCCTCAGAGCAGGATTTCTTAAATTTATAAAAGTTTATAGCTCCTTTTGTTAACCATTAAAACCCACCAGTCCGTCAATTGATTTCTGGCAGATGCACCCCATCATTAGGAATGAATACTCTTTTCTGTATATTATGACAAGTGAAGATTTCTATATTATTAAGAAAATAAAAAGTGCTATTACAGATTCTGTATGTTACTGATATATTTCTGAACTATACCTGTGCTCTGGAGATGTTGATGTGACCCTGATTGGGTGCTGGAGGCCTCATTCCCCTCTTCTGGCCACTGTGGTGCTGGCTCCTTTTGCTTCTGATGCAGAGCTGCTGGTGCATGGAGGCATTTTGCTCTTTGCGAAGTGTATGCTTTTTAATTTGAGTGCTTATAACCTCAATAACCTCTTTGGGGGCGTTGAAACTGAAAATTTTTAATATATGCTAGGGCATTGAGGATAGGATATAATGAGCAAGAACAGATTTGGTAACTGAAATTAACTTAATGTAAGCATCACTGTAGAGTACAAGATTTTGTCACCAAAAAGGGAAAGGTCTCCTTGAAATGCAAAGACTTAGTTTTGCATTAGTACAAGGGATTATTTATTGTCCACTGAATCTAATGGAGATAGTTTTCTTTTTAATTTTATTGGTATAATTTAGATATACATATTGATCGCATTCATCATAAGGAATTTGTACCTGTACATGATGTATCTTGATGAAGATAGTTTTCATCCCCCTAAATGCAAAAAGTAAGGCTCTTTGTCTTTATTCTGGGTATAGGGGTCAGGCTCCTTCTGAAGCTGAGCTGAATTACTTGAGGACAGCCAAATCCCTAGAGATGTATGGTGTTGACCTCCATCCTGTCTATGTGAGTAACATTTAATTAACACAAAATATTTTAAGCTGATGACATTTTTCTTAAAAAGTCACTGAAACTCCCAAAGGAAAGCTGCATTCTCATTTCTTAGCAAGTAGATGGTACTTTTTTCATCTGTGTTTTTTTTTTTTTTGAGCACAAAGCAGCTCTTGCATGGATTAAACCCTAATGAGCTTTGCATAGAAGTCTGTGATTATATTTCCATGTGTAGAAAACAATTAACTGGCCTTGAAAACACAATCTGGATAACAGCTCCAAAGGGCTTAGCTGAATGTCAAAACAATTTAAAATTGGTCTATAATTGATCGCATTAGACAGAAAACAGGAGGATTTTCCAAAAATAGTTTTTATGGCTGAAAAACATAAGTTAACTTGCCAGATAGAGCAGATGTTAGGCAACAGTTCAGGTGCAGTGATAGGTAGTTCTGTGTTGGACTTGCAGGTTTCATTGGGTAGAAGGGTTATTACTGACTACAGGTATCACTGACTAGAAGTATTTTTGCAGATTTCCTTTGGTGACAGATGAAATCTTGCCAGATAAAGTCAGTGAACAGTTACACTGGATCTGCTATTGAGTATTCTGGATCCAGGTCTTACTCTTTGAGTCATTTTTCTTAGACTTCCAATTGATTATTCTGTGTCAGTGCCATTGCAGTGCTGTTGCTTTTGATTTTGTAAGAGTGTAGTTAGCAATGGTCCCATTTGATTATTTGAGAAAATGAGCCAAGTAACTTATGCCTTTTAGGAAATGAATTACTAGAGAGTATAGATAGACTTTTTGTCAGTTGAATTAGGAACTCAGTTTTTTTTTTTTGTTTGTTTGTTTTTTTTGGTACTGGGGATCGAACTCAGGTCCTTGTGCTTGTGCAGCAGGCAGTGAAACCACTGAGCTAAATCTCCGGCCCAGGAACTCAGTTTTTAAGGAATGCCGATAAAACTTTCTCTAATGTGAATGACTCACTCATTCATTCATTTTGTAATATGCCTTTTGCTTGGAAGGCTTTTCTGAAAAATAAATGATATGATATTATTTTTGAAAATTAGAAGCATCCCTGTAAATGTGGTAGTAAAAGTTACAGATTTGAGGGAAGTAGTAGTTCCCTAATATATAGATTCCAATCTCATTAAGTCATTAAATGCTTCTTAGTACTGCCCTTTAAGAAACCGCTAAACCTTGGCGGTGTAATTATCTTTTTCCCTCCTAGCCATGATAATCGTGTTAGGTTTTCAGGTTTAAAAAAATATTTATAGGAAATTTATAGAGAGAATCTTCTGCAGAATGCTTTTGCTTCTGTAATGTTTGTTCTATTTCACAATCAATTTTTAGCTGTTGGTGGGAATTTATTAGAAATGAGCTAATTTGTTAGAATCTTCCATATGTTCCTTTAATATTGAGTTTCTATAGCTAAAAATGGGCAGCAATTGCCCTTCCTCCAAAATATATTAGTTGTTCTATGTCCCTGTGAATATAGCTTTGAAGGCTGTTAGATAGTTCTGTGTATGTTCTTGGTACCCACTTCTGTGTCTTTTTCATTTCAGGATCCATTTTCTTAGTTTAGATTTTTTCATTGCCTGGAAATAAGGGTTCTCCAGTCTTTACCATAAGAGGTTGTATTTTTAAATTTTGGAGTGGTCTTAAAGTTACAAGAGGAGGAAGGAAGGAACATGTTAGATCTCAGAAAATTTAAGTGTCTGTCTGCTGGCAGCTATCCAAACCTTCTGAGGAGGGCTGTGGTGGAGGTGACCTGGGCCTTATGATTGTCCACATCAGGGAGTAAAGTCGAGACAAAGCATTTGAAAGCACCTTTGATAGAAACCAGTGGTTCTCAAGTCTTGGCTACACAGGAGGATCACTTGAACATCTTGATGATATTCAGACTCTTTCACCAGATTCTGATTTAACTGGTTTCAGTAGCACTCAAGCATCGGGAATTTTAAGCTGCTTGGGTGATTCCAGTTAATATGCAGCTAGAGTTAAGCTAAGCACTATTGTTTAAGCAACTTTGAGTAAATCAATCAGTAGCCAAATTGATAATCCAGGTACCTTTCAATGCATGTAAGGTACAAGTATGAATTAACATTAGATCGAAAAATTCTCTCAAGAACTTTGGAAAAAGTAACCATGAAGTTAGCTACTACCACGGCTTGGCTAGCTTTTTATGCGCATGTCTTTCAAAAAACTAAATCCCATGTTATTACAACAAATTACTGTATATTTATATGAGCAATTATAGTTTTATAAATAGCTTTTATGTGAATAAATTCATGGATTTAGACATATGTTTGTTTTTGCAGGGAGAAAACAAGTCCGAATATTTCTTAGGATTAACTCCAGTTGGTATTGTTGTCTACAAGAACAAAAAGCAAGTGGGGAAGTATTTCTGGTAGGTATAACTGGGGAACAGAATTGGTATTAAAGTTATACATTATAAGTATTAAATTTATAAAGCTCTTTTGCCAGTGAAAGGGTTAAGGAAAAGAAAACAGATACATTTTCAATAGTTGGCAAATAAGTGAGTGAAATTGGGTGTGCATGTTCTCCCAGTGCATCTTGGTATATATTGTCTCTGTAAATTTCAGGTGCTGTGGGTTTGGACTCCCTTGTCCATAGTAAAATTTTCTGCCTACTGCATCATGGGCTCATGGGCTCTGGACTGCTCTATTTTCATTAACTCCAACTGGGGAAGAACTGGAGGATTAGGGAACCTGTGGCCCTGCTTAAGTCTGGGAAGGTGGTACTGTCAGAACTTCAGGATTCCAAGCTTGTTTGTGCACTGAATGAAGAAACAAAAGGACGAGTTGAATTATGTTCAGGGAACTAACTAGTTATTGCAGAAGTATTGAAAACAGCCTATATGAATCAGTCTTTTTTCACTGAGTACTTCTCTGAATTTCTGAAAGATGAATTCTTAAAAACAGCACCATCTGCTTTGTTTTTCAGGCCTCGAATTACAAAGGTTCATTTCAAGGAGACTCAATTTGAACTCAGAGTACTGGGGAAAGATGTAAGTTTTTGTGAGCACTTAGCTTAAGTGTCTTATCTGTTCCATTATAGCTTGAAGACATTGTGATAAAACTATCATATTTTCTTTAGCTGCAGCCTCAGGGAACCAGGGTAATTAACTCAGGTGCACAAATTCTCAAGGAAGGGAAAGGGAAATGAGTAGAAATGAATGAGATGGTAATGGAAAATGTCATTTTGGTTTAAGCAAAGGAGAGAAAAACCTTTCTAGGGCAGAGGAGAGAATAGGAGGTGATTATCATTATTACTGTAATTTGCTTTTCAGCACTGTCTTGTGAAGGTAGGATTCATAGACTCTGAAAGGTGTAGCCTGCGTACTACAAAAACATGTCCTAATTTTGCTCTAAAGTTAATTAAACAACCCATTGGAAGTTATACTTTTGCTGTTTCCTTTTTAAGTCTGATAGGCAGACTGAATGGGAATTCTGGGCACTTTCAAAGGAAAATGGAGGGTGAGGTGCTGAAATGCTGGCCTGCCCCTTGGCAGCAGCTGGGTAACGAGCACAGTATTTGTCGGAGCCTGACTGTGTCTTCATGCCTTGACAGGCAGCTTTAGGAAACTGGTTGAAAAACCTTCCTTTTGATCTACCTGTGAAAGTAATGCTGCCTCGAAGTGCTATTAGTATAATTCTTACAGGATAAATTAGTGAAAATATGACATATGAGAATTTATTCTTTTTCTTTTGATACTGACTTTATGCGGAACAAAAACTAAATGTGAGCAAAATTGAACTGACTTCCTTGGTGTTATAAAGGTTTAAGTATAAATCAGTGCTTGTGTCCACCTGTAAAGATACAGGAACGGTGTAGCTGCCTCTGTGGTTGGAGCATGGTTGTTTGGTAGAGCACATTACACGTGGCAGGTACTCAGTAAATATCCATCAGATAATCAATGAAATGATTGCTGAGAATATGTACTGCCAAATCAGAAGACTGGATACTACTGTTGGTTCTTTTAGGGAAAAAAAAAACCCCACTGTGAACTATAAGGCATACTTGCATTTACTGGTAAAGTTAAAATTGTATTTTGAAACGAGTTTGAACTTGGAAGGAAGGGAAATTCCAGATTTTAAAGAAATGATAATCTAAAACGTCTTAGCAGTTCTTAGTGGTATAGTTTGGAGAAAATCTACTGTGTTCTTTAATCCTTTATTAGACTTGTCAATCTTAAAAAGATATGCAAATGTAAGGCTGAATTAAAAATCATTTAAAAAGTAAAGTTTTGTAGTATATTTCCCTATCCTTGAGTTCATATGACTCACATAATAATGCAAGGAATAAAGTCTGTTAAACATATTCAAACTAATGTGTCAAGTATATTTTAGCAGAATATGATAAAATAACACTCTTCATAGAAGCATTACTATTATTCAAAGTATTCTTTATCCTTGTAACTAAGTTGTTTTGGTAAGTGCTGCCCTTTGGTGAAAAACTTTTATGTTATTTGTACAGTGCTCTAAAATGTATTCTGCTGTTTCAGGATAAATATCCGGTAAAGTCACAGCTAACTTGAACTTCTAGCTTCTTAGACTTCTTTATAGCACTAATAAAATTAATAATCATTTTGTTATTTTTCAGTGGCAGTCTCCATGGTACAACCTGGTTTTCTAGGGACTCTGCTCAGTCCCTGTCCTTTCAGCTTTGAGAGGGAATGGATGTTTGGAAAAGTCTGAGGCACGGCACACTCCTAGGTCTTTAAGCTTAGTATCAGTGGTCTTTAGTGAGGTGGCACTTAATGTCGAGGCTTGAATTAAAGGGATTTTTAAAATTGTTATTAATAGCACATTAATTTAACCTGAACATTCTATTTCCTGAGTGTTCTTGCTTGCAGGAATTTTTTTTTTTTCTTTCTCCACCAGAGCAACCGTGTAAGGCAGTGATTTACATAATGGTGGAATTAAGTTGATTATTATGGAGGCCCAACTGTAATCACAGATTGAATTAAAAAGCTCCTTAAAACCCATCACCTGCAACAGTAATCACATTCAGCTTGAAAAATGGTTGAAGTGCTTATTGTGCTGGTTTTCTGGTCTGCTGCTCTGGTCAAAGAGACTTAACTTGGTATGTTCAGTGATTTTAGGCCAAACTTAGACTCTCAATAGGTATGGTAGTTTAAATAACACCTCACAGAAAATAAAATCATTGGTATAAAGATTTAGCCTGATGATGGTAGAATATCTGGAAAATACTCTTCTAAGAAGAAAGCTAATTATTTCTTATTATCCTGAAATTCAGAAATAATTATTAGTATTTTGATACAGTTGCTTTCAGATTTTGACTCTTTAATGTGCGTGTATAATACATGCCGATATATAGATCATTTCCTATGTAGTTTTACATGCTTTTATACTTAATATTATATCCTAAGAATTTTTCTTCCTTTATTATATTTATCCGTATGTGGCTCCTTGGTGTTCAAGTTTTGTTTTGGTTGTTTTTATTTTTTTATGCTGTTGTGGATGCAATCTTTTATTCCTATTATATTTTCTAACTCTTGTTTTGCTAGGAGAAGTGAAAGCTACTGAATTTTATATGTTTACCGCAGATCTGGCCACACTATCCAATTCTTTAAAAAAATTTTTTTTATTATTATATGTTTGCCATACACAGTGATTACATTCAGGAATAAGAAGAGTGCAGTTCCTAGCACTAAGCCCCAAATGTGTCATGTATGTAGTAAGCACATTTGTGGAATAAATAAAAGAATGAGTAAGTGATTCTGTGATTACTTTTATGTATCATGAAACTAACCTCAGCTAAACTTCCTCAGTGTGACAGGATAGGTTTCTGGCAACTCTGGTTATGAGTAATTAGACCCCCTTGGCAGGAATTTTGGGCCCGCTTTGGGAGAGTACACGGGAAGTGAAAGTGGCCAGGAATTGTCACTGTTGGTCAACAAGCCCAAGAAGCCTGCTTATATAAGTAGGGCATTCTTTTATATTTTCACTGACACCATAGATTTAAATATGTACATTTCATATATATATATATATATATATATATGAATGAGAAAATAATTCCAAATTTACAAAGTGGTAAAAATTAAAATATTACAAAGAACATGTTCATCTACTATTACCCAGAGTTAGTTGTATTTTATTCTGCTTCCTTAATAGTTGTGCTTTTCTCTCTTCTCACATGATTCTTTTCTGAAAATGTGAAACTGAGCTACATATGTCACAGACTGAAGATTTCAGTAGATATGCTCCCAAGAATAAGGTTATTTTCTGATGTAGCCACAATGCAGTTATCATCGTAATAAATTTATACCGCTACTCTCCTGTTATCATCCATCTTCTATATAGGAATACCACTTGTGGCATTTTCCCCCAGTAGTATAGAGTAGTTAGACTCCTTTCATCTGGAATGTTTTCATACCCTTTCTTTGTCTTTTATGACATTGGCTTTTTAAAAAACTATAGTTGCACCCTATTGTTTAAAAACAAGAAACTTTTCATTTTGTATTTTTCTGCCATTTCTGTGTAACTGGGCTGACATGCACCCCAGATGTAAAAGTGCATGAGTGAAGTTGTGTTTGTCTCAGGGTCTCATCTGGAGACACATGATGGCTATTTGTCCCTTATTAGTTGTTAAGTTCGATCACCTGGACGTGGTATTACCTGATTGCTTCACTATGTAATTCCTCATTTGGGTCTTTTTTTTCCCCTTGAAGTTAGGATTTACTGAGGCTTTTTGCCTGATCCAGTCTTTTACTGTGATGATTGCAAAATGCTAGTTTTCCAGCTCTCCTACTCCAGCCACATTTATCAGTCTTCAGCTTTAAGAAAGACCCCCTTTTCTCTCCTTTTGATTAATCTATTAGTGGCATGAACTTATTAATCTTTGTTTTTCATTGGTTTATATTACTGTATCTACTATTTTGATGTTTAGGTTTTCCTAGATTTGATTAATAAAAGCCCCTTCACTCTGGTTCCTTGTGCCCTTTGGACCTGCTTCCATCATTCCTTGGGTACTTACTTGTTTTCCTTTTGGGTATAAAATGATGTTTCAGGAGAATTTGATATCTATACCACCACTACCCTAATATCAGCCATTTCTCCAAGGAGTCCTGGTTCCTATTAGTGCGAAAATGGTCAAGATCTGATACTAGGTGTGGTTGTTGGTACTGGGATTGCCTTGCTTTCTGATGTTTTCAGTGGGTAGAACTAGGGACTCTATGCATGCATAATACACCTAATTCATATGCATGTGTATATAAACCTAGACCTATTAGAAACCACACCTTCTTAGACACACAGGGTTCTTCCTAGCCTTGCTCCATTTCAATTTTTATATCCTTTCTTTGTCTGTTGGAACCTTGACTCTCAACAGCAGTAGTACATTTATTCTTTTGCTCAGTTTTAAAATACATATAAAATAGTTTCAGAATTACTTTGGCCAAACCACGAAAATTTTTTGCAGTTTTCTCACCCACATACACTGTCTTGCCAAGACAGGGCCTGTGCTGTGCTGTGTTCAAAATTTACTTGGATTGGTCCCCCTCCCTGTCTACATTCCTTTCTTCCTTCCTCATTACTGTGGTTAGGTATTCACTTGAAATCTAATTAGGTTTATTTGTTTCAGTTCATTTTCAGTATGGTTCCTTCTGTTTCACATTCTTACTTGTTTAATTTTATGTTTTGAGTATGAAGAATATTAACATATTTCCCAAAGTCAAAAGCTATACAAAAAGGCATACGCAGAAGTTTCACTAACTCCCATGTTCCTTTACGCCTGTTTCCTCATCCTTCTTTACAAGCATCAAACTTAACTGTTTTCTACTTTGTATTCTTTTTTTCTACTGTTTTTCTTTCTCTTTTTTCCTCCCCAAAATCTTTCCCCCCCACCATACACCGGGCACGCACACTTTGAACACATTTACCCATTGTTGTTGCCACTTTCTGAGCAGTTCTGAAAGTTCCCTTTTGTGTGTAGCTTTTTGAGATATGATCAAAAATACAGTAAATGCTGCTACCAAATGCT